TTCAAAACACACCCGATAATTGTCTTTTGTATAAGCCGTTCCAGAGATATGTAACTTCAAAGTTTGCTACTTACAGTTAAGAACAACAGCATACATCCTTTCAGCTGCTTTTAAGTTGTCATTGCATAACCCGACTATTTTTATCATTTATTTTTGTAGGTTGTTTTCTACCCTCGCGCAAATTTCTCTTTGTATGTATTTGATCACTACAAAACTAACGTTAAATATGTGAAGTTGATGTTTGAGATTATAATTCTAATTGATTTTTTACTATCCACGTGGAGTGGGTATAGTAAAATATATTTAACGTTAGTTTTGTAGTCAATTGATCAAATACATACACAAAGAAATTTGTGCGAGAGTAGAAAACAATCTACGAAAATACATGATAAAAATAGTCGGGTTATGCAATGACAACTTAAAAGCAGCTAAAAAGATGTATGCTGTTGTTCTTAATTGTAAATAGCAAACTTTTAAGTTACATATCTCTGAAACGGCTTATGCAAAAGACAATTATTAAGTGTTTTGAAAACGTCTCGATGAGATCTACTACTTTTATTTCAAGGAAAAATTAAGTTCTATTTAAGAAATTAGCCATTTTTAAAATTTCTTGAAATTGGCGACATTTATTATATGACTCACATCGAGATCATACGTCTCCCTTTAAACCAAACAACTTTTGTCTAAAACATTTATTTCTAAAATAAAAAATAAGAAAGTTATTGGGGGTGGAACATTAAAATGACTCACCCTGTATATTTATTCAAAAATTAAATTTCCATAGTTATCACTTGTTCGATTATTCATACAGATGATAACCGTGGAAAAAAATTTTGCAGCCAATATAATTACTACGCTGTAAAAATATGTATGTTTATCTCTTAGAACATATATTACTATGTTCTAAGGTTTATCTATAAAACATATATGTATATCTAGATAAACCATAAATTTAATACTGTTACGCGCCGCATACAGTCCTATGAGCATGGGCTTATTATTCAAAATATTTATATCCAAGTTTAACAGTATCCATACATATTGCGGTGAAAAGTTTTTTATATAAAAAATAATTATAATAATTATATATATAAGATATGTCTATACATTTTTGACTCTCTAAAACATTATATAATATCATAAATAATCACAGTTTCTATTTATTTAATAAAATAATATATGTACTAGTATATAAAAACAAGTATATAAAACACGTACATACAAGTATATAAAAACTTAATAATAACAAATTGTATGTGTGTGTATTTATTATTATGGCTATGTTTCATTATTCATTACAAGTACATACATAATAAAAATATGCAGTATACGTAACGTAAACTACATAGATTTTCAGTACTCGCAGTGAATAATATGGAACGCACAATGTGTATAAAATAGATTTTTTTTCTTTTGCTAAAAGCTAAAAAATGCTTCGTTCATGGTAAGATTATTGATGTTATCATATGATAATAGTAATTGTTTATCAATATACCTGCAGATAATTATATACCTGAATAGAATGCAATGTGATCAATGGTTGCAAAATAGCGGATATCGTAAGTCGATAACTGAGTAAAAAGCGCGTATTTATACGTGTTATCGACTAAAAAATAGGACGTTTCCTACTTTATCTACACTCACCAGGATTACGACGTTAATACTTAAATGTTCTACTAGAGGGCATCAAGATTGTAGTTTTAGAGAATGTTTTGGCTACATAAAGCCAGTTCTACATTAGTTGCAAGCCGATCGCAAGCTTGTTGCGACAGCCAATCCGAAGTATTGATTTCAAAATGCAAGCTTCAGATTGGCTGTCGCAACAAGCTTGCGATCGGCTTGCAACTATAATGTAGAACCGGCTTAAAGTGCCTTTTCATGCTGACGCTCGACGCTCATTTTTAGCATCAAAATTACGCGATCATAGTTAGCTTGCACAAAAAGCAGCAACATCAAGTTTAACGTCAATCGTATCATTCGTATCTAAAATGTTCAGAACAAAACAACAACAGCTTTTGACGCTGAAGCTGAGAATCCAGAAGAAAATCCAGCTTCTTTTTTTGACGCTAGCGTCAAAGTCGAAGTCACACGCGATTACCAAAAATTCAACATGTTGATTTCTTTATTGCTTACGTCTTACTGCTTAAGTTTTTCTGTGTGCCATGACCTTAACGCTAAAACGAGCGTCTCTTGAATTTGCACCTTTAAGGCTCGCATCTACTGGCTTTCTTATGTTTTTTCAATAACAAAAAAAAAGTAAATATTTAATAAAATGCCTATATGAGTCGATGTGTATAATAATATATTAAATAAATAAATAAATAAATACATAAATTATAAACGTTTCGATCCTGTTTTGGCCGGTCTTTCGCAGTATATATAATAATTAAAAAGATTTAATATTACAACAGAAACCAGTGGTAAATTTTGTCCGAGAGTAACAGAGATGTGGAACATATTAAAAAGCGAGATGCGTAGTCAATAATAAAAACCATGGTTCCACTTAAAAGAATCCAATATAATATAGTAAAAATATATAGTCGCTATTATATTAGATGGAATGTCTGAGTGGCGTAATTAAAATTTAAAAAATTATAAGTTGCAAATTAAAATTAAATGATATAACGCACGAACGTCGATGTATTATTCGACTCATGAACTTAAATAACACACAAAATTCAAAAAGAATTCATTCATGTACTCTTTTTTATAAGTTTTTCTTAGAGAGTTTAAAAAGAACTCAATCGTATGTCATCAATTCCGAGTTTATTTTCACAAAAAGAATTCTTTTTCAGAATTTTTGAAAAAGGATTCTCTAAAAATAAACTCATAATTGATGACTGATTGTAAGTTCTTTTTAAACTTTCTGTACTATTTGGGAAGAACTGTTAAAAAAAATATATGTGTGTGAGACATGCGGTTCTTTCGTTATTAAATTGAAAATAAACATTCAATTTTAGAATTACAATAACAGTAGAAAAATAATTTCAAAAACAATTTGAATAAAAATTATTAATATCGCTTAATATATACATATATATATTTTTTTTAATAGAATTTTATTTATTATTTCATAAACCATGTAACTTATTGATGTATATTTCGATGTATATTATTTTACATTAAATATTTCTCATATTACAATCTCACACAAAAAAGTTGTAACTATAATTCTGTCACGGTTTAAATTAACTTCATATTATATCTATTATAAAATTTTAACAAACTTAAATGGTAATAATAATTACAATTGCAGAAGCTACAAAATATTGATATTTTAAAATTTAGAGACTATTCATACCTGCATTTTGTCAGAATCAAAGAAATAATATGCGTATAATTTTTGCAATTTGAAACACGGTTATTAACTCACGAAAGCATTTCAAATTGATAAGACACTAACTCATGAAATGTGTCATTAAACTTTGCTATCAATCTAACGTATATACAATAAAATGATTAAATACGAATCTTTGTCAGATACAAGTTTTCGTCTAATAAACCTCGATGTGTTTCTAAAGATTATGTCGACAGATGTCAGACCTGATAACACAATTTGCAACCTATTTCTCGTTTTATCCGCAATAAAGCGGTTTCTCGTTAAAAGTCGTTTGTATGGACATAAGTTAAACGAACGATTCGCCGCGCGTTTAGTTATTCATTTCTGACATCGTAAGCCTATGATGTGGGTGACAATCCGAAGATATAAGTAAAAACATAAAACATGAAAAAATTAATTTTACATTCAACCTTCGTGTATGCTAATTTTTACAAAAGAAAAACAATTATTAACAATTTAGGATTTGTTGGATAATTGTTTTGCGTTACTCTAATACTTCTCCCCAGTGGACTTTAAAAACTTAACGTGTTCCGAAAGCTCCGTTTGATCGATTAGGTCATTTTTTTACATCTAATATCGTCCGTTATTATATAAACTTCTCGTTATTTGATAATCTGAGAAATCAGCTCCTATGTAGATTTGGCGTGACTCACTCTGTTGAGCGGCAACGCAAAAACCTAGCTGCATATATCTGCATGTGCATCGGCCATTACTATGACAGCTGGTCGTAAGCAAACTATACTCGGGACCAATCATTATTTATGCGGGATCGGACAGGGCGTCCTGCGTACGCATATTCTCGAATGGAATTACCGTTCTGTCGCTAATTAATCACTCACTGTCGCGAGTTATAATAAACGGCGGAATTTCTCAGAGGAACACATTTCCGCGCCCGCGGAAAATCATGTTTCACTGAGCCTATTCAAATAGATAACGTCGTATTTGGATACAATTAATCGAGCATACTGGGCCGCACCGTATACGCGTTAAACTAACTATAATTGCGATTCAATCGGCGGATACGCGGGAGAGGCGGTCGCGAGGCGAGACCTGGCCGACCGAGAGTGCATCAATTGGTGAATTACGCGCCGTTAATATTTTAGCATCAATCTCGCCGCTCACTCGGAAACTGGATCCAGTCGACCCTGGACCAAATCCTGACTGAACATGGCTGACGAAATGTCTCCTCACGAATTCCCAGTTCTAGCGCAGTCTCTCACGAGTCCTTCCGTTCCTTTTTTTTTTCTTCTTTCCTTTTTCCTCCTTTTCGCGAGTGGAAAGACATAAGAATAGCGAATACCGAGTAAAACTGTCGTCGACGCGGATGATTACTCGAGAAATTATACTCGTAATGTTACACCGCGGTTGTGCCGATTGATTCGCATGCAGCCGGCGGACGACATCAATACACGTGACACGCGCAGAGATCAATTTTTAAAGACACGGGACCCAGCAAACACAGATTATAACTACAATGTTACAGCAACATTGTAACATTCTAGCTATATATTGCAGAAATATTACATTGTTGCAATATTGTAGTTGTAATCTGCAGTGTTTGCTGGGGAGTCTCAAACAGTCGAGTACAAATCCACGTGAAGGAGAAGAGAGAAATTAAAGAACGGGGTTCTTTTTCTTAAAGAAATCATAAATCACTCACCAGTGTCGTTCTCATGCCCTTGAGGCCCATCCCCCACATCCTCGGTGGCTGCAGAAAGTGCTGCAACAGATAAGAGCGGAGTGAGATCAGTATACGCACACGGCCGTTTTACATTAGAGGGACGCAGGGGTGGGGAAGGAGGGCGAGGGGAGCGCGATTATTAATGCGGGTCGCGTCGTAAAGTTACGTGCCCTCGAGGCGATCGCGACCTTCCACGTTGACGGACGGACATTAAACTATAAAGTATTAAGCTGTAGAGCCCAGCACCGCGACAATTAACCCTTTGATTGGGAGTTATTTATGCGATGTGATCTCTGACAGGGTTAGGGGAAAAATGAATGCGAAATTAGGCTTGTTTGCGTATTTGATTCTTTTGGTAACCTTATAATGCTGCAAGATTATGTACAGCATGTCTCAAAACTACCGGATGCTGTCTCAACGACATTCTGGCCAATTTAAAGTCGGCGTTTCTCAGCGAATATGTCGAGACAATTTTCAATTTTCAATTTATAAGCGATTACAAGAAATTTTTTGCAAAGTAAACTCCCCTTCGGGAAGGCAAATGGATAATACAAATTAATTTTCTCAATTGACAAAATAAACTAGAAAGAAAATTAATCTTCAGATAAAGTTCATTTCGAGAGAATTTTAATTAGAGATCTATTTTAATTTATCTGTAATTAAAAATACTATAGAAGATACTTTAATTAGAGATACCTACTACAGAATTTATAAAGATATGTTACTTATATGAAAGTTATACCATAAATAATGACCTCTTCTGTATTTATATTCAGAAAAAAATTTTTGGTTAAGAATTCAGCTGTTATATGATATTTGGTAGTTCCAAAATATCTTATTTGAAATCTACATATAAGCATATATCAAAAAAAATTATTACACATATATGTATATTACTGTTTTATTACTGACAATCTTAATACTGTAAGATTAAGTTGTCTCAAAAAATCACCGGATGCTGTCTCAATGATAAATCTTTGACAGACAGTTAACTTTTCTTACAATCAATAAATATCAAGCGTCGACAATTTTCGAATTGTAAAATAAAATTCGAAATTTTTTGCTAACTATAAATTCCTTTGGAAAGTCAAATGGATAAGAAATTAACGAACGATAATGGATAATAAATTAAAAATTAACTTTTTCAATTAACAAAGTAAACTGGAAAAAAAATTAACCTTTAGTTCAGGTGGAGTTCGTTTCAAGATCTTAATTAGAGATCTAATTACAAAGATATATTATATCGATAAAACTACGATAAATATAAGGAGGCATTCTTCGGCATTCTTATTCAGAAAAAATCAATTTCGGTCAAAGATTCTGTTAAAAGAATGTCTGTTTCAGATTTGTTGTAAAAAATCTACCACATGAGGATATATCAAAAAGAAAACCAAAACATAATACAATTTTATTTTGGAACAATGCTGGCGCATTTCTACCTAGTTGATCGTTCTATACTTTTTCTCAGAAAAAAATAAAAGTTCTGACAAGTATAATATAACTATTCTAAAATGTATGTTCCGATTTATGTACTGCAAGTAATTTTATAAAGTCACGAGAGTAAAAGTAATGTCGAATTATCAAGATAGATTCATAGCAAGATACATATATGATGTTGCATGTTAACATTATTTCGTTAGTTGGAACAATTTAATTGTAGTAAAATCACGGAATAACTATAATAAATAGTAATAGAGTTCAATACAACAGATTATAAATTATTTACTAATTAATTTACTTTAAAAGTAATGTCGAATTATCAAGATAGATTCATAGCAAGATACATATATGATGTTGCATGTTAACATTATTTCGTTAGTTGGAACAATTTAATTGTAGTGAAATCACGGAATAACTATAATAAATAGTAATAGAGTTCAATACAACAGATTATAAATTATAAGTATATTTTTTCAATTTAAACAAACATTTTTCTAAAGTCAACAATTATGACACAGTAACATATTATAACACTTTTTTATATCAATAACAAATGTTACTGAAATTATATTATTTAGATAATTATATTATATCTATATATTTTCTTATATTCCATCTTACTACCACTGGTATATGTACTTACTGGTATATGTACTTTTAGTACACTGAGAAAAAATGTTAATATAGCACTAAATGCACTAATATACACTAAATGCATTTTATTGACAGTCTTTCTTTAATTCAGTTATATGTTTTTGAGTTAAACATACATCAATAATACTGACATGATATTTTTATGAACTTACAAGTATTTTTTTAAATTAACAAATAATAGTTTGACAGCCCGTGGTCCGTGTATAGTTGAATCAAAAAAATATTTATTTTATTTTACACTTTTTTCCTCAGTGTACACTTTCCTTGATTCGTAAACTTATTCATTTTTCCTTCCGAAACCTTTATACAATATAATTGAGATATTGTTTATCTTCAGTTTTCTAGTTCTAGTCGTTGGTATTTAGTATTCTCTCTGAGTACCAGCAACAAAATGTCATGAGAGGATAGGAACAATAGTTGCCCGTCGCGTGAATGATGCAATCTCTCAGAGTACAGAACAATTTAATTTATTCAATTTACGAAGCACGCATTTTTCGTCATTTATTGTCGATTGTTATTTACTTCGATAGGCGCGGACGATCGATCCCACGTACGCGGTGATTGGTGAACAAGCGTTTGCTCGGTAACCCATTAAGCTTGCAACCTGTTTCACAACCTACATTGTAGATGTAGGCAATATCTCTCTAGAGATTTCCTCCAGTACTCGCATCCAGCAAAGATCGATTGAAGAAACAATCGTGACTGTTCTAAGCAATTCAGGTTTATGAGGCGTTCAGGCGCATTGAAATGCCACTATACCTTCTTTGATAAAAAAATTTGAATAATGGAATCAGATCAATAGCAAGAATTGTATCATTTAAGAATTGTAATTGCTATGATTGTAAAGTCCCCTAAGATTTCCCTACACGAATATAAAAATTATTATTATGTTTTAATAAGATTAAATAAAATACATTTAATATACGTTGCCTCTAGTATATATGTACGTACTCACTCAATATACCAGTTATTGCGATAAATATTATCATATGCTTCGGTGATCGAATCGGTTAAAGACGCCCGTTCCGGAAAGTCGAGAAATCCCAGATTCAAACCCTGGCTGAGATAATATTTTTCGCAATAAGTTCTTCGCAGTATTTTAAATTTTAAAGATGCTTAGTTTGATTATTAAGAATTGAAGATCAATTGTGATCTCATCACTATTCCAACTTCAGCTAATGATTGCGTTGCAAATCCGACATTGATTCGGCGCGCAGTTTAAATGACTAAATAATGAATTAAAAATTCACATAGAATTTATTAGGTATCAAGATCCGCAGCTGTGACCGTAGAAGGCGCTCTTAAATTTATTGGGAGATATTCACGCGGTCTAGTTCAAATTAATATTGTTTATACAGCCGAACCTCGATAATTTAAACCTCTACAACTCGAAAGCGTCTATAAGACAAAAATTTTGTTCATTCTCTTCCGCTCCACTACGGAAAATATAAATCGAAATAAAATCTACCTTCGAATTATTTGTCAAATATTTAGATATATTATTTTACCTCTGCAACTCGAATTTAAAGTAGCCAGATCTCTATACAAATCAAAGTTCACCTCTATAAGTCAAACTTCTATTGTCGCTGCCTCTAAAATTCGAAGTTGTAGCTATGTAATCATGAGTAATAGTCTGATATTTTATTTTATGATTACATTTATTATATATATGCAATAAATAATGTCGAATATTAATTTTTTTCTCTAAAAGTCATTATAATCGGAAAATTATAAATTCTCGTACAAAGTCTCCGTAAATCGAAATTTCATGGTAACCCTCTTTTACTCGAATTTCGATAAGTCAAAAACTCTATAACTCGCAGGGTTTTTCTCTTCCCTTGAAATTCGAATTATCGAGGTGACTGTATAAATAAAATATACTATACAAGTTTATTTGTGTATTTAGCGTAAAAATAAACTAGAAAAAGAGGGTAATTCCAAAGAATACTAGGAATACACAAGGAATACTAGGAAAAATAATGCAGAATTTCGAGAATCCACTTTATGAGTTTATCCACATATAAAATAGAATATATAGTATTTCCTATATGCGCTGATGCGTTCTATCTCGTCAAGTGTCGGGTGGAAAGTGCGGATAAAATCGACGTACGGCTCCACGAAGAAAGTCAGTGTTAAACATCGGACTCTCACTGTGATATAACGAGAGCAGGACATACGGTGCATCCGCTAAGTGGTACACCCGCGTCCCTAAACGCGCGTCGTCGTCAAACGCGCGGCACTCCGTCGCGCGTCGTTCGCACTTTTAACTCCAGCCGCGTCGCTCATGCGCCGGAATCGGCTTCCTGATAATTGCCGGAACATCGTCGCGTCACGACACAGCGTCTGAATATTACAGATTGCACCTGACACATTATACTTCGTCGCACGTGCACGTGATCGTCACGAGCGTGACCAGATACGTCAGCGAATCGCACGCTAATCGCGTTAATTAACGAATCCGAGCTTTAAATGCGGATACGACCTGCGCGCGTGACGGCGTTTCCAAACGGCGGAATTATTACGTCGTTACGTATAGAATAACGATACTAGTAAAATCGATCTGTATACATGTATTACAGTAACTGTTTCATTACAACCAGTTGAGAATTCATGTCTTTCCAAAAATTAAGAATGCTAATTTTTATTATAATGATAATAATAATATTCTAATAACAATCTCACTATTTACGTATTTTATTATTAAAGACAAACAGGATATGTAATACGTAATATAGAATAAATACATCATACATATGCATATATGTATATGTATATAATATATATGTATATACATATATATATATATATATATATATACATTAACATTTTTTTTAATAAAATGGCTTTCTTGCAATACTGTTAAAATAAAAATGAATTACCCTGTTTAATATACAGGATATCCCATAAAGACCAACGCTTAAGGGTAGATTTTTGAGATCATTTTA